GTTCGAGGCTTGTGAAATGGTTGTTTGTTGGTTGATTTTATACCTTGAAAAAGGGTTTTCGGATTGATGCCCAAGGCTAAAAGAAGTTTGATGAGTTGATGTTATTTTTAGTTTTTTGAGAAGAGATTATTTTTGATTAGGATCACACTAAAGAATTTGGATAGAGATGAATGTTTCGAATAACCAAGTCGAGCACCTTGTATTCAAAACATTCGAAACGAGTGTAGGAGGGTTCCATTCTCGTTCCTTCTCCACCACTTTAAAGTTTATGGTGTATGACTCCAATGATATCTTTATTGTGTTTTGGATTTTTTATGAGAAAAATACCACTTAATGTTGGGTCAAAGATTTTATTGTTTGTGAAAATATTTGAAGTGATGCGAACAAGGTCGATGGCGAACGCACAAGGCGGTCGACTTACAAGGGTGAAAATGGCTTGATGAAATCGAGAGTTTATTTTTGAAAATAGTTTGGGAACCAAAAGTCAAACATAACCATAATAATGTCCACATACAATGACCGTTCAACCACATTGGATTAGTCGGCATAAACAACACAAAACATGAAGAAAAAAAAACATAAAATGCCATCAAGGAGTTCGCGTGCAAACTCCTTGAAATTTTTTTTTGGGAGAAAACTAGAAAAAACAAGGGAAGTTTGCTAGGCGAAAGCTATAGCGAAGCTGCCTAGAAACAGCAAGAAGTTCGCTAGGCGGACTTCCCAGCGAACGCAAACAGAGGCAAAGTTCGCTAGGCGAACCTTGCAGCGAAGCTGCCCAGAAAAAACTAAAAGAAGTTTGGTAGACGAACCACCCAGCGAACGAAAACAGGGGCGAAAGGGGGAAAAGTTCGCTAGGCGAAGGTGCCAGCGAACATGACAGCAAGAAAACATCAAAAGTTCGCTAGGCGAACTTCATGCTGTTTTGCCCAGAATAAGCCCTTTTTTTATGGAAACAAAGGGAAAACATAGCAAAGTTTGCTAGGCGAACTTGCCAACGAACATAACTGTAAAGATGAGTATTTTTCAACTCATCTTATTATGTCAACTACACTATGTTCTTTCTCTTTTCTTTGTTTTCTTACAACATTTCTTGGTCATATCAAGATCTTATTATAGCATACAACACAAGCAAAAACACATGAAAATAAAACATGCAAAAAATGTAAAGAGGTGAGAGTTTTAAAGGAAGGATACCCAAGAGCTACTAGATTCCTTCACCACCAATGGCTTTGTTGGATGTCCTCCTCCTTCTGGTTTTCTAACACTCTTTTGTTCTCTCAAGGTTTTCTTTTCAATCCTTTTTTCTGTTTTTTCTTACTCTCTTTTTTCTGGTTTTTTTCAATGTTTCTTGCTCTCTATCTCTCTCTATGTCAATGTGTAGTGAATATTGAATCCCTTTGTTTGCAGCCCCCTCTCCTCTTTTATCTCAGCATATTAGGGTTTTCCCTTCTTTCAAAACATCAGATTTTTTTCATGGAGAAATGTTTCTTGCCACTTTCCTCATGTCACTCTCTTTCTTTCCATTTCCATTATGTTACTATGCTGCATTTTTGTTGCACTACTTGCCTATGCTGTCTTTTTTTTCCTGTAGGACTCTACATTGCCCTCAAACCTTGTACCCATTTGTTGGCTTGTGTTTGGACTGCTCTTGTAGTCAATGCTACTATCTTTTGACAACATTTTGAAAATTCTGATATTTAATATGTAGATGCATCATTGTGGGTTCATTTCCTTGGTGTTGTGACATGTAATGGTTTTGTGATATAATGCAAATTGTCACTTCTTGCATGAGGCTGTTTTGGATCACATTAAAATTACCAATGGCTAAGCAAACACAGTCTTGATCTTGACATGTTCCAATGTTGAGTTTACTCCTAATTATTTTCCTTGGATGTTTGTGGGCATAATGTGGAACATGTAAACTTGTTGGGGGCATGAATGGTATCATTGCATGAATTTGATTAGAGACTTGAATCAAGATTAGAAATAGATTAATTTCTAAACATTACTTAGAGTTGGAAATTTTTGTAACAAATGGCATTCTTGCAAATTTCATGAAATTTCTCTTTGTAATATTCTAGTCTTGAATTCATGAATCTTGAACTTTGATTGATGGATTTCCCTTATACCATTATTTGGAATGAATGAAGTCTTGAATTATGCACTTGTGATCTTGACTCATGCTTTGCAAATTTGAACTTCCCTTTGATCAAGAATTTGAAACAAAGTTGGAGGAAGAAACCTTGAATTAGGCATTGCACTTCATGTATATTAGAAATATTGATCTTGAATATCTTAATATTTTTAAAGCAACTTCTCCTTGAAGAAATCTACATGAGTAGACTTTCCAAATTGAATCAAACCTTAGATGATTGACCTTTTCTTCCATGTAGCCCATGATAGGTAATTTCTCTTATTTGAAAGGGAAAACAAATGAACCGACCCAATCCTTACCTTGTGAACCTATATGCTCGATATTCAATAAAATGATATATGATATGACGAACAAAGGGCATGAAAGACTAAAGGTGAAAATGAGGGTGTGACACATGTACTGACCAAATATACATGTACATTCACAAAGATTTGGTTCGATTTAGGGATATCATAGTATTCAAACAGTGGAAAAATTATTTGTTCATTGGGTTAGATAAATATCAATGGTTAGATATGATTTATAATGGTATACCGTGAAAACAAACTGGAGGCTTATTGTGTGTCTTAAGTATTTTTCAACCACACATGGTCGCATCCATTAGTTTTGATACTTGTTGAAATTATATTATTTATTTCCAATTTAAGTTGGAGTATATTTTAAGACTATAACGTTAGAGTATTATTCATTACCAATGTTAATATGTTGCATAACATTCAATTAATGTCGGCTAAATACTGGATATAAGCTCTAAATAAAATGAAATAAAATAAAATAAGACTGAAAGAAGATTTTAAAATACCTGTTAAAGATTAAAACAAATATTGGTATTTAAAATTTTGAACAGAAATATCGTATTGTCTTTCATTATATATCAATCTATTTTCAAGGAAATTCAACACGTAATCATTGGAATATGACATTGGTTTAAACTCATTTAAGCTCCTCCTGTTTTTTGTAGTTGCTTCTCATTTTCTATCAAAGTTAATTGTTGTATTTCTTGATCAGTCAGTGATAATTCTATAATAAATGGTTAAAAAATTAATTTAATTTAAATAAAAATAGGGATATATTCAAAAGAATTTAGGTCAACCATAATAATTAGGGATATTTAATAGTACTTGGATTTATTGACAATCTTCTCTAATCATACATAATTCCATCATATAAGTATTTCCAAGTGTTATGCCAAACATGTTCTGGACGATTCATTGAAGCTGATAATAACATAGTAACAAAAAGCTTTCGCAGGAATACATCAGAATCTCAATTATAAGCCTACTTTATAACCTCAATGAACTCATTGTCATCTTGTAGAAACCTCATTGCAAATCATGCTTCTCCTAAACTGGAACGTTTGAAGCCCTCAACAGTTTTGAGATCATCATAACTTGTTGGACCTTTTTTCACAATTAACAACATTCTCATGTAACTCAATTCACCAGTTGTTGGAGGCACCCAAATTAAGCGACCAATTGTGTAACCTCGTTTCCTAGGTTTCCAGCTTCTTGTTTTCTTGACGTAAACAAATTTTGACACAAATTGTCCATATGTCAATAACTTGGCTTCTGCATATTCTCTATTTGCCACAAACCTCGAAGTAAACATTGACTCAGTTACACTTGCCTTAAGAAGGACATTTCCAATTTGTTCAAAATCTTTGTAGTAAACTAAGTTCTCTCCTTCCAAGTGAAAAAATAATTTCTCTACAACCAGTTTCTTGCCATGGATAGAATAAGAAAATAATTCTCCAACATGATTCGCTTGGGAAAACGTATTTGCAATCAAGATATTGTTTGATTTCACCAACATCTCCATCACGAGTAGTATTCTTTGGAACAATAACAGCTGAAGTTCTATCACAACCCTTATTGATGTACTTGAAGAGATACTTGATTGAATTACTTTGGTTGCACCACTCCATATTAATGTGTGCTTCATATTTCATTAATAAACTTGGGTTGTGTGGCTTTATATGACCGTTGTTAAGATTTATGCCATTCTTTTCGGTTGTATTGCCATTTTCTCTTCTTCTATAAACCGGATAACCATCTTGATCAACTATGGTTATATATTGAAACTTCTTTAGTTAATACTTTGAAAACTTTCCATCTTTCATGCATGGGCATTTTGGGTTTTCCAAACCACAAGGTCCATGTACCATGTGGCTTTTCACCAAATTATACAATCTTGGATGTTTTAAAGGATCCGGTACCTCAACAGATATAATTTTATCAATATCATCAGGCGCTGGATATTTATTTTATGGATGCAAGAATATAAGAATGTGGGCATGTGGCAAACCTGTCTTTTGAAATTCTATTACGTACATGTCTGAAATGAAATAAAACAATTATATTGGAAATGAAATCTTAAGGCATAAAAAATACATAAAAGTTATGAAAATTATATTACGATCAATCAACTTACAAGCAAGAATTTTCCCAAGGACACCTTTTTTTGTAACGTCTGATAAGAGGTTATCAAACTTCATTTTGAATACCCTAGCAATGATGTCAGGTTTATCTTCAAGTTAAGGGGATACAAGGATCGTTGGATTTCAGGACAATTAGGGTTGCAAGTGAATGTAATAAATAGGTTTGGAAATCCCACTTTACTATAAATTTCCATCCTATATCATAATACAACTGATCCATAAATCTCCGACTTCCAACATAAGATGATGGTAAAATAACTCTTTTTCCTGTGCTTGAACCAGGTGTTTGACTTGGGTTCAATCTTGATTTAGATTGTTATACTTTGACAGCCCTAGCCTTGATTGATTGTTTCTAAGCCATTTTAACATTTCTCTTTCAAGCATTGTGTAACCATCAACCAAAAATTATTAAAACAACCTTCTAGATGATAATAGTGTCTTACCCTCCTGACATCTTTTTTGAATTTGAAATGCAAGCCATTCTTGAATAGTAAGCCTATTCCTCAAATTATCATCAAAGATGTCAAGATCTCGGTGAGAAACATTATCTTCTCCATATGGAAATATCAATGGATATTGGAAAGCCATATATCTTGCATGAAACCCGTCTATACGTTGTAGTTTTCCTCCTTGATTTTGCATAATTATGTCTCTTTCTTCAGCTGTGTCAATGTCACCAACAATTAATGCAATCACCTTTGAAACAGTAGGTTGGTTGTACAATCTTCTATTTGTAGTTCTATTAGCAATCAATTGGAGTTTCAAATTATGGACAATGCCTTGATTTAGTCTTTGTCTTGCCATAAGGAAACTCTTTGCATGTGTATTATGCTTGTACAACATATCACATAGTGTTTTAAGTATCAGGGGATCAATGTTGTTTTGTCCCTAGAGAGCCAATTAAAATGAGAGAGTTGATTTTTTGTGCAACAATAAAAGGTTGTATGTATAATAGATGAGATGTCATTTATTAAGTCAATGAAGATATGTACTCTTAGGTATTTAAACATGTTGTTGGGCTTCCATATAACTGCTAGCACGCATATGTAGCACATGAAGAAATCTAAGATAGTGAGAGTAAGTATAGATATCTACCGTAGGCCTTCCATTCTATTACTGATTTCATTTTCTATGTCATAGATGTACAATTGTGCAGATTTAGGTGGATGTCCTTCGGGTGGCAATAAACTTCCAATATAATGGCAATATTGTCCTTGAATGCGTATTGTTTGTGGACCTCGTCCGTTATTGAATTTGTTATCCAACTTTGCACCAGGTGAATGAATGCAAACATCATGTTGTAAGTGTTGAATAAACTTTAATGTTATATTTAGTGGATTTCTATTAATAAGTTAGTGGAAAGACAAAGTCTCTATTGTAGTTGGAAGGCCAAGAGATAGTGGGCTATTAATAGCATCTACTTGTTTTCTTAGAATAGCAGTAATGGGACTATATAAAGACCAGTATTGTATTTTCATTTTAACAGTACACATATATAAAAGTAGTGCTTCTGTTCACAAATTGGCATCAGAGCAAATGGCAAACGTGATGAGTCAAATGCCGCTGCCGCGACTAACGAAGTCAAATTATGATAACTGGAGTGTCCAAATGAAAGCTCTTCTTGGAGCTCTAGAGGCATGGGAGGTGACCAGAGATGGGTTTGAAGAACCAACAAATACTGCGGGATATACGGCAGCTCAAAATAAGGCGTTGAAAGAGACGCGGTCAAAGGATAAGACGGCACTATACATGCTGTTCCGAGCAGTTGACGGCTCAGGCTTTGAGAAAATTGTCGGTTCAGCTACGTCGAAAGAAGCATGGGACACGTTAAAAAAGGCGTTCGAAGGAGCAGATCGAGTGAAGCAAGTTCGACTCCAACTCTTCGTGGTGAATTGGAGAGGATGCATATGAAGGAGTCAGAAACTATATCTGACTACATCACGCGTGTACAAACAGTCGTGAATCAACTCACTAGAAATGGCGAAACGGTGACTGATGCACGAGTTGTCGAAAAGATACTGAGATCTTTAACAGATAAATTTGAGAATATTGTGTGTGCAATAGAAGAGTCGAAGGACCTTTCGACGCTCTCAGTCGAAGAGCTCACTGGTTCTCTCGAAGCACACGAACAACGTAAAATGAAAAAGAAGGAAGAAGCAGTCGAGGATGCACATCAAACCAAGGAGTCAATTAAAGACGAAAAGGTACTATTTTCTCAAAACTTTCGAGGAAGAGGACGTGGCCGTGGAGGTCATGGTCGAGGTGGTCGAGGCAGCAACTTTGATAGAGGACAATCAAGCCAGTAAAATTGGCGTGGCAGAGGACGTGGTCAAAGAGGTGGTCGGTCGAACTACTCCAACTTCGAATGCTACAAGTGTGGGAAGTATGGTCATTACGCGAAGGATTGCAACTCCTACAAATGCTATAACTGTGGTAAAGTGGGACATCTTGCAAAGGATTGTCAAGTCGAAAAGAAGGTAGAAGAAACAACCAATCTAGTCTTGGAAGCTGAAGCAAATGAAGGTTTTCTCTTGATGGCTCAAAATGAAATCAACACCAATAATGACACCATGTGGTATCTCAACTCAGGGGCAAGTAATCATATGTGTGGTTACAAACATCTGTTTAAAGAAATGCAAAAGATTGAAGATGGTCATGTGTCCTTCGGAGATGCATCGAAAGTGAAAGTCGAAGGCAAGGGTAAAATCTGTTACTTGCAGAAGGATGGCTTGATTGGATCAATCGAGGATGTTTATTATGTACCAGATCTCAAGACCAACATCTTGAGCTTGGGGCAACTTACAGAAAAAGGTTATTCGATACTTATAAAAGATCGGATACTGCATTTTAAGGACAAGCTAGGGCATCTGATTGCTCAAGTCAAGATGGGGAGAAATCGAATGTACAAACTAAATTTGAGAAGCGTTCGAGAAAAATGTTTGCAGGTCAATGTCGAAGACAAAGCGTCGCTGTGGCATCTACGCTTTGGTCATCTACATCATGCTGGTTTGAAAAGGTTGGCGAAAAAGAACATGGTGCACGGGCTACCAGACATGGACTATGAAGGAAAGTTTTGTGAAGAATGTGTGCTTAGCAAACAAACAAGAACCTCATTTCAAAAGAAGGCAGAATATCAAGCTAGACATATTCTCGAACTGATTCATACCGACATATGTGGGCCAATCACTCCGGAATCTTTCAGTGGCAAAAGGTACTTCATTTCCTTTATCGACGACTTCTCACGAAAAACCTGGGTTTATTTCTTGAAAGAAAAATCTGAAGCATTCGAGGTGTTCAAAAAGTTCAAATTAATGGTGGAGAAGGCAACTGACAGACACATCAAAGCTGTTCGATCTGACAGAGGTGGTGAGTATATTTCAACAGCTTTTATGAAGTATTGTGAAGAGCAGGGCATAAGGAGATTTCTAACTGCACCATATTCACCTCAACAAAACGGTGTGGATGAAAGGAAGAATCGAACAGTTCTCGACATGATTCGATCAATGCTTAAAAGCAAGAACATGTCGAAGGAATTCTGAGCAGAAGCTGTACAATGTGCTATTTATGTTCAGAATCGATGTCCACATTCGAAGTTAGAAGATCAAACACCACAAGAAGTATGGAGCGGACAGAAGCCAACAGTTTCTCATCTCAAAGTATTTGGTAGTGTGGCGTATGCACACGTACCAGATCAACGAAGAACGAAGCTTGAAGACAAAAGTCAGAAGTACATATTCATTGGGTACGATGAGAAGACAAAAGGGTACAAGTTATTCGATCCCATAAGCAAGAAGGTGATAGTGAGTAGAGACGTTCGAATAAATGAAGCGAGCAAGTGGGACTGGAACAATTCGACAAAAGTTAATGTCGAAGTTGAAGAATCATTTGTTGCCATACCAACAAGCATTCCAACAGAACTTGAAGAGTCTGACAATGAAGATGAACCTTTACAACCCAGAATGCGAAGTCTACAAGATTTGTATGAAACAACAGAAGAGGTATACCTTGTATGTCTTTTGGCAGATACTGAAAACATTAACCTCGAAGAGGCGTTACGAGACGAAAAATGGAAAACTGCCATGAACGAAGAGATTAAGGCCATTGAACGTAACAACACATGGGAACTAGCAGAATTACCAAAAGGAAGTCAACCCATTGGTGTGAGGTGGGTATTCAAGAAAAAGATGAATGCTCAAGGCGAAATAGAACGGTATAAGGCGCGACTTGTTGCGAAGGGATACAAACAGAAAGCAGGAATTGACTATGACGAAGTATTTGCACCCGTTGCAAGAATGGAGACAATTCGATTGCTCATTTCTCAAGCTGCTCAATTCAAATGGCCAATATTTCAAATGGATGTCAAGTAAGCATTTTTAAATGGTGTGCTCGAAGAAGAAGTTTACATCGAACAACCACCCGGATACATGAAAGTCGGAAAAGAAGAAAAAGTGCTAAAATTGAAGAAGGCGCTTTATGGGTTGAAGCAAGCACCGCGAGCATAGAATACACGCATCGACACATACTTCAAAGAGAATGGTTTCAAACAATGTCCCTACGAACATGCTCTGTATGTAAAGAAGAATGGAAGTAATATGTTACTTGTTGCTCTCTATGTCGATGATCTAATTTTCTTGGGTAACAATGGTCAAATGATAGAAGAATTCAAGGGCACAATGACACGTGAATTCGAGATGACAGACTTAGGTCTGATGAGATTCTTTCTTGGTCTTGAGGTTCGACAAGAAGAAGCGGGAATCTTCATATCACAGGAGACATATGCAAAGGAAATCCTAAAAAGATTCAAAATGAAAGATTGTAATCCAGTTTCGACACCAATGGAGCCAGGTGCAAAGCTGTCGAAATTTGATGGAGGAGAAAGTGTCGAAGCAAACAAATATCGAAGCTTGGTAGGTAGTCTTCGCTATCTCACATGTACAAGGCCGGACATTTCATTAAGTGTCGACATTGTAAGTCGATTCATGGAGGAGCCAGTATATTCACATTGGAAGGCATTGAAACGAATCCTAAGGTACATCCAAGGAACATTGTCATTTGGAATGTTTTATTCAAGAACAGAAGATTACAAGTTGGTTGGTTACTCCGACAGTGATTGGTGCGGAGATATAGACGATCGGAAAAGCACTTCAGGATATGTGTTCTTCATGGGAAATACCGCATTTACTTGGCTTTCTAAGAAGCAGCCGATAGTAACGCTCTCGACATGTGAAGCTGAATATGTGGCAGCATCTTTGTGTGTTTGTCATGCGATATGGCTTAGAAGATTGTTGAGAAAAATGGAGCTAAAACAGGTAGGTACAACAGTCATACAAGTGAACAACAAATCAGCAATTGAGTTAGCAAAGAATCTTGTAAACCATGAAAGAAGCAAACACATCGACGTTCGCTTCCACTTTATTCGAGAACATGTGAAGGAAGGAAGTGTCGAATTGAGGCATGTAACAAGCAAGGATCAAGCAGCAGATATTTTCACAAAACCATTATCGAAAGAAATTTTCGACACAGGCAAGAAATTGATAGGCATGATAGATGGAAGGAACATTTAAGTTTACAGGGGAGTTTTGTTGAATAAACTTTAATGTTATATTTAGTGGATTTCTATTAATAAGTTAGTGGAAAGACAAACTCTCTATTGTAGTTGGAAGGCCAAGAGATAGTGGGCTATTAATAGCATCTACTTGTTTTCTTAGAATAGCAGTAACGGGATTATATAAAGACCAGTATTGTATTTTCATTTTAACAGTATATATATATATATATATATATATATATATATATATATATAT